GGGGAGAGAGACGGCTGGTGCCAGAAGGGGTAGGAAGACTGGAGGGTGGCGGCGGAGTGTTTAAACTCTGCGCCTTGTAGAGAAAGCGCTTCCCTGGGCTGATGTGGAGTTTTATTCTCCTGGTGAAATGTTAGGAAGTCCAGTGCTACCTCGGGCTTTTTTTCACACCAGTAAAACCACCCACTGGTGCCAAGCTCCAAGACCCCCAGTGGCACTAGCCAGGGAACTTGGACTGCTGACTCACTTGCTGTGAGACCTTCATTAGTGTGCTTTCACCTTTCTGGGTTCTAATACCTGGTGCGATGGCTACCAGACTTCACAGACAACATTCAACATTAAAGGTTTTTTTAAGGAAGTTAATAAGTTGTAATGCCAGTGAGAAACGCTCAGGGTAGAGTGATCAGAACAGGTTACAAAGTTCCTTTAGGTTTAACAAGCGCCCTGCTGTAAGCCTCAACCTGAAGGCCTACAGCTCAAGCTCCTGAGTCAGCAAACCAAGCTCCCTGAATTAAGTGCCCAGAGGCACTGCACGCCAGGAGGCCTCAGCCTGAAGGCTCTCTGCTCCACTGCCGTGGGTCAGCAAGTCCAGATTCCCCAACTAAGTGCCCAGAGGCACCCCACTCTGCAAGCCAGCCTTCTAAAACACTCAGCTTTACATGCTCCGTTCCATGCTCTGGCTCCGGATTCTGCTGCTGCTCCTCTGGTGTTACGGCTATCTTCTGAATCCAGGAGGTTCACTGAACAGGAATCATAGGTCCAAAAGACCGGCTCCACTCCTGGCTCTTGCTGGTAGTGAGAGCCCTCCCCCAGCTCCTCAGAGGGCTCATTTTATACCCAGCAGGCTGGCCCTGCAACAGGATGAAGCCTGTTGACAATTACTCACAGGTGAATCCTATCAGTGTTTCCCCTCCCTTCGTAACAGACTCCCGCAGGGAAAGGTTATCATCTGGTGGGAGTTAGAGACTTTGGCTAGAAGAGCCACACTAAATAATTCACTGCCCCTACACCCATCACCAGCTCCAGAGGAGAAAGATGAGGCTGTCTGCTCCTCTGTAGATTTATAGCCTCAGAAACCCTAAATAGGATTGCTGTGTGCCAGAACAGACTGGATGACGGATTTTGTGTGCCTCGTTCAGATATTTGAGTAAATTTTGGTTTGACAACAAAGTAGAGCTTTGTGGAGAAACATGACACCCGGATTCAAGATGCTTACACAACTACATCATCGAGGTCTGGTAGTTTATAAAACCGTGGGGGTAAAAAAAGAGGGAGAAAAAGCGCAAATTGTATAAGGCCAAAATGAGAACGGGATTGGGAAATTTTCCTGGTATATGTAGGAAACAGGAATGGGAAGAGAGTGTATACAGACAAATTCTTTATTCTCATATTTAAGAAGCCTGGGTGGCCAGGGTTCTGGGTGGAGGGAGGTCTTCACCCTTGTGAATTAGAGATGATGTCCCAATCACATTCTCATAAAAGATTAATCACCTCAATATCCTCCCATAATAGTGGTACCTTAAAGTTACCGCTTCCAAGCACATGGCTGATCGCTATCTGGCTGGCAGCTTTACCTCTAGGAGCAGGCATGATGCTATTGCTCTCCCTGCACATGGGACAGTCACTCCCCCTCACCTGCCCCAGCACTGCGTTGTTACTCCTCCAGTGAACTCAGAGACCTTGAGGGCTAAGGTACAGCCTACTTGTTACGTATGTGGTTACTTGTAATTAGGGGGCTTGCATGCCCTAACACTATATGACTTGATGTGAGAATACATTTTCTCTCTCTCCTGGACCTGGTTCCAGATACCATGGAGGGGAGCACACCAAAACTTGTGTCTGTCTCTTAATTTCTTACCTCCAATTACCCAATCGACCCTTCGGGCCCATCCAGATGTGGGCTGGATTCCCAAGATATAGACATGATCGGAAAAGAATATAGATTTCTCAACCAATAGTCTATTCTAAAACCCTCAAACTACAAAAACAAAAGAAAAGGAGGAGGCAGAAATATGTTCTGGGCTTTTCTTACCTTCTGAGTTTAGCAAAGTACTACTATGTAGTTTACAAGGGAAACAAATGTATTAGCTTTGATGCTTCCCATACTCCAGTAGATCTTATTTTAACCCTCAGAGCAACTTAATGCAGTCTGCATCATCTCCGTTTTGTAGAGGAGGAAAAGGAAGGCCGCACGGCAAGTGTGTGGTCTTGTCAGCACTGCAGCGCAGAGCTGGGAATCCAGGGGAAGTCCATCTCATGCTCAAACCCACACTTTCTTCGACACTCCTCTAAGCGTCCATCAGTCCTGCCCCACCCACATCCTCAGAGGGAGTATTCCTGCACGGATGCACCTGTTCTGTTTGAAAGAGAAGGCCACCGCCCAGACCTCCCACGACTGAGCAGTTAGATCACTCTACATTTCACTCCATCTCCCTCAGGCTTGAGGTGAAAACAGAGACTTGTCTTTATTTATTTTTCTCTCTGTGCTCTCTAACATGATGCTGGCTAATTATTTTTCATTGAGGACTCAAAGATTTCTTCTGGTTAAAAGTGGTGTGTCCCCCCCCCCCCCCCCCTATCTCAGTATGTCTACCTCGTCATGTCCAACATTTCAGGACTAAACCATCCAGCAGCTGATCACAATGAGAGCGCCTGCTCCACAAAGGCTACAGCTGCCACGTCTGCCCTTCCCTTCCTTCCGCCCAGGACCCCAACAGCCCAGGACCCCAACGACCTCAACCTCAGCGGCTCAAGGCGGCGCAGGAATTCCCCTTCTGAATTCATTACTAAATGACTCCATAGGTTTGCTTTTGAGAATGCCCAAGCTCTTCTCAGGGCAGGAAACCAAAATCCACAAATGAGATCATTCGGGAATGCATCGTCACTTTGAGATCCCTTTGCTAAAAAAGGTTGACACTGGTTTTAACATCTCTCCTGCTGTGTTGCTAGGTGCCACAGAGTCAGTTCTAACCCATGGGCACCCCCTGGACAACAGAAGGGAACGCTGCCAGTCCCACGGCCATCCCCCCAACTGCTCTTACTGGGGCAGCCCCGGGGGCAATCCATCCTGCTGAGGGCTTCCTCTTCCTCGCTGCCCTCTCCTTGACCAAGCATTCCAACTGAGCATTCAGGAGACTGTCAGGGGGGGTCTGAAGGTTCTAACGCCTTTCCCCCCGCCAAATCACATCTTTACAGAACGGCTGACCCCGAGTCACCAATTAAGGCAAAATAGCTAATCAGCACATCATTTGCTCTCTACCCACCCCACCTCCTATTCCCACTACTTAAAATTTTATGAAACTCATAACAACAGCTTCCCTTTATGAAGAACCCACTTGAAACTGATCATGGTACAGTTAAGGAGTTAGGCTGTTAACCAAACGGTCATAGGTGGGAGTCCAGCCATGATTTCCTCAGAAGAAAGGCCTGGCAATCGGCTCTCCCAAGATCCACCACGGAAACCCTCTGGTGAGCCAGGGGATCTGCCTTCTGACACACACGGCTCTGCCTGAGTTGGGATCGAGCCAACAGCAGGGTTTGGTTAGTACAGATCTGAATCGAACATCGAAACCTCCCAAACCTCCCAAACGTAGGGACAACCAGGGGACTGGGATTTCCATAACTTGTCTTAGGTCACCCAGCTAGTGTCAGCCAGGATTCAAACCTGAGTGTAGCACAAGGCTCTCTCTCTACTCATGCCTGAGTGATCCTGGGTTGGTCAGAACATACGTTCTTCCCCTCTAAAAGCAGCACTTCTCCAAGGAAAATCATACCACAACTAAAGAGCCGGGAGGCGCTCTTTGATAGAGCTACATGCTTTTGCCTTACAAGAGTTGGGACATCGATTTTTTTTTTTAAAGAAAGTTTTGAAGCACTTTCCCCTCCGACCCCCTTTGCCCTGTCAGAGGTCAGGTGAGCAGTCACTGGAGCAGATGGAATGATCTACCCCCAGTTCCCCAGTCACGTTTTATACTCCTGACTGGGAAGGGAGAGATGGCATGGCATAGCTCAACTAAGAAAAGCAAGCGTGACGTGGCTCTGTATTCATTAACTGCCGCTTCACACGGCCTCCTGCTGACTCTTTACTCCTCGCTTCTCAACTGCAGTGAGTCAGGAAATGAGGACAGGGCTCCAGGGAGGTGAGTACCACACTGCACAGCCACGCACAAGAAACGACAAGACCCGGGGTTTTCATTTCCTATCCCCCTCCCGCCGGGATCCCCGTTCCTACACACACCAAAAAATGTCTCCCGATAGCCATGGGGTACGTAAGGGTGGCCCCTTACCAGACTAAGCCTCTGGCATGTCCGTCTGAGCAGGCGCAACTAATGGCTTAGCATGAAAGCACAGAGCCCTTCTGCCAGAAGAATGGACAAATCTGCATTGGAAAAAGCACAGACGGCAAGCTCCTTGGAAGGCAGCCTGGTGAGGCCTTGACTCATGTCCTTCAGACATGTTGTCATCAGGTGGAACCAGTCAAGAGGAAAGTAGAAGACCCTCCATGAGACAGGTTAGCAGAGGAGCTGCGGCCAGCAGAGCAGCCATGGCGAGAAAGCTGTGAGCCCCAGCAGGGTTTCCTTCTGCAGTGCACAGGGGTGCTGGGAACTAGCTCCAACAGGACCGCCCCTGACAGCCAAGCCCTCCATTGCCATCTGTGTAGGAAGTTCACCACTGCTGAACTTCCAAACTGAATACTTCATTACCCTGGAGCGCTCAGCTGGCACAAGCAACCGGTTCGCCCCCACTCACTGTATGCGCCCCATCGGAAAAGAAAGGAAGGGCAGCGTTATTAATAATCAAGGGACTTAACACAGACTATGCCTGCCAAGATTTGATTGGCAAAGAAGATGTACTATATTTCTTGAAACATGGGGTTGAAAGATGAGTCGCAATATTCTTTTTTGGCTAAACTCTTCATCTACCACTGGACGGAAACATCCCGACTCTACCCAAACCAGCAGCTTCAACAGGAAGTGAGGGCGTTGGCATTGAACCCCGCTTACCCTTGGTGTCGGAACTGATGCTGTCGTCCACGTCGACCACCCGCCGCCCGCCACTCCGGGGTGTGCTGTGAGCTGGTAAAGGGGAATGCTGGCGAACAACTTCTCCAGGGCGAGCTAGGGGAACATCCGATTCTGGTGGCTCTGCCCCTCCAGCTGGGTAGGGCTGGTGGGGTTCCTTTTCAGGGTAGGGTGATGGGGCTCCCCTGGAGGGGTCCCATGAATCTCTGTCACTCTCGGGTGAAGCTGGACTTCTGCTCTCTGTCTGCTCAGAAGGCTGAACTTGGCCATTTACATTGGGAGTATCCATCTTTCCCAGAGGATCCCAGGTGGCAGCCTCTGTTTCAGGGTAGAACGGTAAATTGCTAGGTGCTGGATGTGGCAAAGCCGGAGCCAGCCCAGAGTCTGGTGGAGAGGCACCACCTTCTGAAGCCCTTGAATCGACTTCCCCCTGGAAGGAAACATCAATCGTGCCACGGCCAGTCCCCGCCCTCTCTGCTTCACTCGGTGGGTAGTCGACTTCCTCCTCAGTCTCATCATAATAATCCAGGCTGTCTTCGGTATAGTCACTTCCCAGAGCCCCTTCAAGATGGAATTTCGGATGTTCCAGCGAGGGCAACGATTGGGCTCGGGAAAGGTCCCCTCCAATTGTGGCTGGCCTGACATTGGCCAGTGGGGAGGTGCTGCCGATGAGAAAAGCCCACACTCCAGGAATCCCCATGTTGCTCAGCCTAAATAAAGAGAGAGCAGTTCGTTGTAACAAGCATGTCCATTTACCCACGTTTCAACAAAGGTGAGCGATTTATTTTAAAACGGAAAAACTATTAAGATCAAATCCAGGGTTTCCACTGGTGTCTAAAATCAAATAAAAGCCGACTCACTGTTACCTAAAAGGATTATGCTGGAAGTCTGATGTAAACTATCTTTTGTTTAACATTCTGTTTCAAAGTCCCTGTCCACAAAAGGCTAGATTACATCAAGTTATACATTTGCTCAACAATCCAAATGTTATCCCTAAAATATGGCTACGTGAAAACAAATGGCGACTGTGAAAATATTTCAGCCTTCCTCTACTTGTTTGAAGAAAACATAGGATAAAAATCCTTCCCAAACACTGAAAGAAAAGTGATTTGCTTTTGAGAGCGAGTTCTGTTCCAGCCTCTGTGCCGAGTGCTTAGCATTCTTCCATACAATCGGCAACTCTGGAACGGTGATCCTGGCCAAACTTACAACGATGTGCTGAGAGAAGCTAGCTCAACTTTTTAAGGCTCATAACTAATGATTGGCAGAGTCGGGTTTGAATTTGGAGAGCATTGCTGGCACAGTGGTTAAGTGTTTAAGTGGCACAGTGGTTCTGAAGCCACGAGCCAGGACCAAGATGTAGCAGTCTGCTTCCAGGAGGAGGACAGGCTTAGAAGTGTTCCTCTGTTCGATAGGCTCCCCACGAGCCAGAATCGGATGTGAACCCAACTCTCACACCAAAGCCCACCCTCTATCTGTCGATAGTGTATTCTATCTGCATTATGTGGGAAAACACACACCTACGAGTCCATCCACATCTGAATTATCATTACCCTTTGGAATGGCAGACTCATTCCATTATTTAGTCACATGGGCCAATCAATGAAAGATGAACTGAGGCAAAAAATCCAAAGACATAAAATGCCCAAGGCTAAAAATGCTGAGCAAATGCAGAACAAAGTTCAGGGGCAAGTAAAGAAGCCTCATGACACTGACAGGGGACAAAGGCCAGAGTCTTTCCAGAGACATCCAGAACCCAAGGACTCTCTTGTTTTCTCCATCAGAGAATAGGCGCTCCACTCGCTCTCCCAAATATCCCAACCATCCATTCCACTAGAATTAGTGGTACGTTTTGAATAGAAAGGCCGCATATAGGATTATTTCTATACATAAGAATGCATTTGAGCAACAAACACCGGGAAGCTTGAAGAGCCTGGTTTATTACTCCTCTGACTATGCTCAAAGTCTCCATTGCAATTAAATGTCTTCAAAAGTCAGTCCATGAGGAGTGCAAATTAATGATTAAGAGAAAATGATAAATTAATTAAGCTTATACAAATAAGAGACCCTTTGCTCATGAGGATAAGTAGCCATCCACATAATAAGTGCTTAGTGACTACTGTCCTCTCTTCCAGGAGAGCGAACAGCATGAACTACTCAACAAGTGCAGACGTGCACATGCATCTCTAACTGCAGAAAGACTTACGACACACTATGAGAATTATACAACCTATGACTTGTGATCTTTAATTATCAAGGAAGTTGTAGAGCACAAGTTCACTGAGTAGGAAAATATCTTCAGAGATGCACGCTGAAGTAATTGGGAATGAAACGGCATGATATTTGTGACTTATTTTACAACGTTGTGAAGTAAAGAAGGATAAATGTGGAAAACATGTTGACATTTTAAAATTGAGTAATGGGCACTAGAGTGTTCTTTCTAAATTCCTGGATATTTGTTATAAAGTTAAATAAGGAAACGTGAAATAAAAAACTAAACTGAGGAACATTTCTGTCATTCTGCGGTACAAAGAATGACACCAAGGGACACATAATGGGACCGACGATTAACTCGGAGGTCCCTAAACTGAGAACTCCACAATCAAAAACAAATCTCATAAAAACATGCACAGCACATGCATAGTGATGCTGCTACTACACCTTTGCTGAAGAGTCCCGTCTGCAGTCCCCACAGGAGAAGGGACAGACAAGTAACAGCACCTATCTTTAAACAGCTACGAAACATATGAGAAAGGTTTCAGGTGGGCTCAAATCTCGCAACGACTGAGGACAGCAACACGCGATCGGGTGGTGAATCATTCTGTCGCGCGGGGGCGCTCTGACTCCACCACCTAAGGACAATAGCCACAGTAACCAAAGAAAGGAACAGGACAATGTGAACACGTTTACCTCCCAGATGGGCAGATACTAAAAATCACAAGGGAACAGACGGGATCAATTGTAGCGCTATATGAATGGGGAGGAGGCAAGTTGAAAGGTATTTCTGAAGGCCAACTTGTTAATATTCATCAAAATGTTAAGCTGCATATAACCTTTGTCTTGGGGATTCTACTTTTAGGAATTTATTTTAGAAGACAAGAGATGTCAGCGATGAACATTATACTGTTGCATACTGTATACTGTAGCATTATTTATAACTGGAAATATCAGAAGGTTAAAATTAAAGAAAAAAAGATGAAAAAAAACTCACTGCCATTGAGTACATTCTGACCCAGGGACCCTACAGGGCAGGGGTTTCTGGGACACTAACTTCTATATGGGAGTAGAAGGCATATAAAAATGTTCCACGTCTCCAAATTCTACAAGTCTGGCTAGACCAGAGGATATACACTGGTACAGATAGGAACTGGAAACACAGGGAATCCAGGGCGGATGATCCCTTCAGGACCAGTGGTGTGAGTGTCGATACTGGGAGGGTAGAGGGAGAGTGGGTTGGAAAGAGGGAACCGATTACAAGGAACTATATGTGACTTCCTCTCTGGGGGATGGGCAACAGAAAAGTGGGTGAAGGGAGACGTCAGACGGGACAAGATATGACAAAATAATAATTTATAAATTATCAAGGGCTCATGAGGGAGGG